GGTGCTCCATACAAAACTGATTCTAAACTCCTAAACTGATGCTCAGAAGATATCAGAACGTGCTGGTGGCCTCACAGCGAGTAAAGAGCAGCTAGATTACAGCAGAGGGTATCTCTGAATTGTTTCACTACCCTGTTTCTCTGGCCACATTCTCGGGGTATTGAGCTGCAGGACAGAGGTGCAGTGTGGGGGTCCTGCCTCAGGCAAATAATTTACATCACTTTCTCTGCTTGGAGGCATTTTTGTCTGAAGACAAAATGAATAGAAAATTTACTATCACATATGCCTGTAATTCTGATTAAATAATCCTGCCTTGGGAGAATCTATGTATTTCAAATTCAGACTATGCAGAAAGACCAGAAAATCACTCAATTTTCCTCATTCATCATCTTTAAGCATAAAACAGAAATATCACTTCAAGGGAGCCTAGAGGGCTGCTACCTTAGAGGGGGAAGCAAAAGTAATACATTTATTATTACATTTATTAGAATTTACATTTACATTATTACATTTATTATACTCAGAGCTAACCAGTTCTGAACTCAGTCAGACTTGGTTATCCCCTACTGGCCATGACACCCTGGAAAAGGCCCTAAATGGCTTTGGGCCTTTGCTAATTGGCAATACCACAAAAACAGTATATGCCTGTCCTGAATATGAAGGGCTACATACATTCAAGGTTTAATGCTATTACCATGTTTTACTTTTATATCCTAATTATAATATACTCTCTGGTAATCTACCATCAAATACCGGGAAAGGTATTACTCACCCAGATATTCCTCTCATTTACTCCCATTCACACTCCACTGGAAGACCTTGGCTATGGTTGTGTTATTTTTTTTCCCTACGTATTCACCCTGAAGTCAGCAGCCGGATGGAGCGGAGCCAGTCACTTAGCAGTATATCTCTCTTACTCCCCACACTTGCTTGAAAAGTAAGGAAAGCTACTTCAATTCTACCCCTCTACTCACCCTTCTCTGACAAAGAAAAATTATGCTGGTATTAGCAAATGGCTGCCTGATGGGAGGCTTATCATTAACCACAGGGTGTCTCAAAAGGTCACCACACATGCATACAGACATAGCGGAAATGGGAAATCGAAGCTAAACGTACCTTTATTCAAAAAACATTCATTACGAAATATCTACAAAATTGTTCTGTACATGTTAAAGTATAAATATGAAAATATTCACATATAAAGTGTAACGACTTTGTTAATTTTCCCTATGCATGGTGACCTGATAGTAATTTAAAGCACTAGTTCTCTCGTTTAATCGTTGGTTGCCCATTGGCATTACTTGAAGAGCTTTCAAAATTCTAATGCCACCCCACCCCTTGAAATTCTGATATAATCAGTCACTTGCGTGGCACTGGAATTTTGTTTAAGTTCTCCATTGAATTCTAAAATACAGTCAAGTTTGAGAGCCACTGATCTAGAGTTTGGGGAAAGCTGAATTTGAATAGATTCAGCAAATTAGGAGAGAAAATTACAAGAGTAGGCATGAAGGCTGGAGAGCATGGGCTTGTCACTGCAAATTGCTGATACATGTCAGTCCACGTTGCTAAAACGTTGAGGGGCTTACACTTCCTCTACAATTTCTCCAATAACTTCCTTTCTTTTGGAGTTTTATTCCTGAGTTTCTATGATCTTTATTTAACGGAGTGGAGATTTTTTTTTTAACATGATTTAAATCCATTCTTATCTTTGTTTTGCAATCCCCTGACTTTTATTCAAGATCAACTTTTGAACTAAGTCGAAACAAACCTTTTTGAAGTCGCTTAGTAAAAATTCTTCTAAATGTCAGTCCCAGTAATGAAAACAGAAAGCACAACCTGAGTGAATGGGGATCATTTCTCGCGCAGTATTGACCACGTTGCTGAGTGTCAAAATGACAAGCCAAGGAAACGCCAGGCGAAGAAATCATCCTGCTTGGGAACCGCTCACATGGCTGCTGCTGAAGGGCAGCGCGGGCCTGAGTATTTGGCCTTAATTCGGAATTTCCGTGTTTTGGTGAGTTAAAGTCCTCAGCACTCATGTCGTGCAGTTATTTCTGTATGGTTTATTTCCCTTCCCTCTTTGTCATTCAATATTCAAAACAACGTGAAATGTACATTCTTCTTCACATGGAGAATGAATTCGGCAGCAACTCAAGCACATAATTCTTCTCTGCATGGAAGAGATGCCGGACATCTGCTCACCCCAGATCCACGGAACCACACAGCATATTTACATGAGCGACGGAGGGAGGGGGTCTCCTGTGAGGCTCCTTACAGCAAACACGCAGAAGAGACACAAACGCACAAGCTTTATTAGAGAGAAGGAACCTGTGAAATGCATTTTTTAAAAATCTCTCTTGTCTCTGTCTGTCCCCTTGAGAATGAAGGCTTCATGAACCCAGTGCGTTCTGTTCAAGCTGTATCCCATGAGGCTATGGCTGGCATATAGTATACATTCATAAATATTTGTGAAATGAAGGAAGGATTTCTACTTCAAATATCCAGTCGCGAAGGTGAAAAAAAACCATGATGTGCCTCCTTTCCATCTTCCCTCATTGCAAAGAAACTGGATTAAAATGAATGTTTTTCCCCCTAAACTTCATAAACAAATTTTTGCAGGTGGATTTGATTCTGTGCATACCTTCTGCAGGCACCCACACACAAACACCTGCCCCAGGCAAGCTCAACGTCTCTAACATAACATGCGGGAAAAGTTCCTTTGAGCAGACAGAGTTCCATAAACACTTCTAAACCCAATCTGACTCCAGCTCTGGCCTATTCCTGACCACGCATCAGTATCCCAGGTTAGCAGTTTTCAAGCATTAGCACATATCAGAATCACCTGAAGGGCTTGTTAAAGCAGATCGCAGGACCCCACATTCATGCCACAACCGCTAGTATAAAACTTGAGTCTGTACTTAGATCAAGAAAACAGTTCCTGTTTTGAACTTCCATCCTGAATTCTCATCTCAGTAATCGTCCTTCCTGCAATTGTTCCCAGAGAGGTTTTCATTAAGCTATTTAACATGTTTGAGCCCCAAGCCTCAGACTTCTTATCTATGAAATGGTCACATTTAAAAAAAAATGAATAAGCTTTGTTTCTTAAGATAGTTTTAGATTTACAGAAAAATTGAGCACATAATACAGGGGCTCACACATGCCCCTTCACCGCACCTAGATTCCCTCATTAATATCTTGATTAATATGTGTACATTTGTTATAATTAATAGACCAGTATTAATACATGTTATGTACCACAGTCCATAGTTAACTTTAAGGTTCATTCTTTGTATTGTACAGTTCTGTTCTGAAAAATGCATAACGTTACCACCTTTCCATCATTACAATGTCATATGGTTTCACTGCAGAAATAACTCGGAAACAGAAAGTCAGATACCACATGCTCTTACTTGTAAGTGTGAGCTAAAAAATGTGTATACACAGACAGAGAGCCCGGAGTCATAGACACCAAAGACAGCAGGGTGGGAGGGTGAGAGCACGGGAGAGTGGAGTAGGGTGAGAAATTACTTAATGCATACTACGTATACACTATTCAGATGATGGTTACATAAAAAGCCCAGACTTCACCACTACTCAATATATTCATGTAACAAACTGCATGTTTACCCCTTACATCTATAAAAAAGAAAAAGAATAGTTTCACTGTGCTAAAAATCTCGTCTTCATCTATTCTTTCCAACCCCTCTTCCTCTGAACCCCTAGCAACCACTGATCTTTTTATTCTCTTTACAGTTTTGCCTTTTTCAGAATGTCATGTAGTTGGAATTACACGGGATAGAGCCTTTCAGACCGATTTCTTTCACTTAACAATGTGCGTTTAAAGTTCCTGCATGTCTTTTTGTGACTTAATAGCTCATTTCTTTTTATGACTAAGGTCCCATCATGTGGACGGACCATGGTTGGTCTATCCGTTCATCTGGTGAAGGAATCTTGGTTGCTTCCAAATTGGGCAATTATGAAAAAAGCTGCTATAAACCTTCACATGTAGGCTTTGTGTGGAAATAAGTTTTCAACTCAATTGGGTAAATGCTAGGAGCTGGTGTACAGTAGGATCGTGTTTATCTTTGTAAGAAATTGCCAAACTGTCTTCCAAAATGGCTCTTCCATTTTGCTTTCCAACAAGCAATAAATGGAAATTCCAATGGTCACTTACCCTCCCCCATGATTGGTATTGTCAGTATTTTAGATTTTGGCCATTCTGATAGGTACGTAGTTATAGCTCATTGTTTTAATTTGCATTTTCTTAGTAAGATATGATAATGGAGCATCTTTTCATGCGCTTCACTGTCATCTGTGTATCTTTGATGGGTGTCTACTCAAATTTTTTGCCTATTTCCTGATTAGGTTCTTTTCCTATAGCTGAGTTATGAGAGTATTTTAATGTTCTGGATATAAGTCTTTTTATTCTCTTCACAATGTTTTTAGCACAGCAAAAGCTTTTAATTTTATAAAGTCAAGCTTATCAATTTTTTCCTTTCATGAATCATGCTTTTGTTGTTGGATCTAAAAAAACCTCTTCACCAAACCCAAGGTCACCTAGATTTTCTCCTACATTACATTTTAGTGATAGGTTTCATGGGAGTTTTGTAGCTTTGCATTTTATATTTAGTTCTATGATACATCTGAGTTAATTTTTGTGGAAGGGGGAAGACCTGTTTAGGTGATATTATTGCATTTGATATCCAACTGTTCTAGCACCCTTTGTTGAAACACTATCCTCTTCCCATTGACTTGACTTTGCTCCCTTGTCAAAGATAATTGACTAGATTTGCATGAGTCCATTTAAGGCTCCCTATTCTGTTCAGTTAATCCCATTTGTCTCTTCTTTGGTCACTATTACACTGTCCAGGTTACTGTAGGTTTATAGTAAGCGTTGTAGTTACATAGTGTCAGCCTTCAACTTGTTCTTCTCCTTCAATATTGTGTTGGCTATTCTGGATCTTTGGTTTTCCACATAAGCTCTAAAAACAGTGTTTTTTAGCTTTAGTGACAGTATCATAGCCAATGAGGTTTATCAAAGGCATGATTATTGCTAATTGAAAACTTTCCTCAATATTCCACCATGACAACTTGAAAGATAATCACCATTGGCAATTTTGACAGTCTCTATGGAGACTAAAATAAAATAAATACAATAAAATAAAAACAAGATTTTTGATATCTACAAAATAACTTGCTGGGATTTTGGTTTTGATTTCATTGACTGTACAAATAAAGTTGGAAAGAATTAACATCTTAACAATTTTGGGTCTTCCTATCCATAATAATAAAATATTTCTCCATTTATTTAGATTTTTTGGTTTCTTTCATCAGAGTTTTATGGTTTTCCTCATACAGATTCAGTAAATATTTTGTTAGGTTTTACTTAAGAATTTTATTTAGTGGGAAGAGCTAATGTGAATGCTATTATATTTTAATTTTCAATTCCAATTGTTCATTGTTAGTACATGTTATAAAGGAAAGCAGTTTACTTTTAAATATTAATATCCTGCAACTTTGCTATAAAAGCTTAGTAGTTTCAGAAATACATTCACCAATTCTTAGGGATTTTCTACGTAGACAATTATGTCTTCTGAGAACAAAAGGAGTTTTACTTCTTCCTTCCCAACCTGTAAACTCTTTACTTTCCTGTCTTATTGCAGGATTTTCAGTATAACTTAGAACAGGAATGGTGAGAAGGGACATTCTTTTGTTGTTTCTGATCTTAGGAGCAAAACATCTAGTTTCTCACCATTAAGTATGTTAGCAGTAGGAGTTTTGTAGATTCTTTTTTATTACGCTGAAGAAGTTTCTCTCTATTCCTAGATTGCTGAAAATTTTTATCATGAATGAGTGTTGAATTTTGGCAAGTACTTTTTCTGCATCTATTGCAATAATTCTATGATCTTTCTTAGCCTGTTGATACTAAGGGTTACATTAACTTATTTTCAAATGTTGAACCAGTCTTGCATAATCAGGATAAATCCCACTTGGATATGATATATAACTATTTTTATACATTATTGATTTAATTTAGAAATATTCTGTTGAATATTTTATTTTTGCATCTATGTATGAGAAATATTGGTCTTTAGTGTTTCTTTCTTATAATGCCCATATCTGATTTTTGTTTGTTTGTTTTTATTTTTGAGACCAAGTCTCACTATGTCACCCTTGGTAGAGTGCTGTGGCATCACAGCTCACTGCAACCTCAAACTTGTGGGTTTAAGCAATTCTCTTGCCTCAGCCTCCTAAGTAGCTTTGACTACAGGTGCCCGCCATAACGCACGGCTATTTTTTGTTGCAGTTGTCGTTGTTTAGCAGGCTGGAGCCGAGTTCGAACCCACCAGCCCTGGTGCATGTGGCCAGCACCCTAACCACTGAGCTACGGGCACTGAGCCCCATATCCAATTTTGGTATGAGGCTAATGATAGCCTCATAGAGTGAGTCAGGAAATATTATCTTCTGTTTTATTTTCTGGAAGAGATTGTGGAGAATTAATATTTCTTTTTTAATGTTTGGGTAAACTCACCAGTAAAACCAACCAAGCCCACAACCTTCTTTATGGAAAAGATTTTTGTTATTGACTCAGTTTCTTTAATAGATACAGATTTATGCAGGTTATCTATTTCTCCTGTGTGATTATGGGTAGTTTGTATTTTTCAAAAAATTGGTTCATTTCATATAAATTATCAAATTTATGGGCATAGAATTGTGCATAATATTTACTTCTTATAACTTTAATGTCCCTGGGACCAATGGTAATTACTACTCTTTCATTCTAATCTTAGTAACTTGCATCCTCTCTCTCTCTCTCTTATCCTGGCTAGGGATTTGTCAACTTTATCAATCTTTTCCAGCTTTTGGTTTTTGTTTGTTTTCTCTATTGATTTCCTATTTTCAATTTCACAGATTTCTCTTCTAGTTTGTATTATTTCTTTTCTTCTACTTGCTTTTGGTTCCTATTTTAGATCATTGACTACAGACCTGTCTTCTTTCTAAAATATGTAAGACCTATCTTCTTTTCTATAATACATAAGAACTTCAAGGACTGCTTTCCCGGCATTCCACACATTTTGATAAGTTGTAGTCTATTTTCATTTAGTTAGATTTTTTAAATTTATCTTGAGGCTTCTTCTTTGCCATCTTTGTTATTTGAAGTGTGTTGTTTAATTTCCACATATTTGGGGGAGTTTCCAGCCATTTTTCTGTTATTCACGTCTAATTTAATTCCATTGTGCTGTGAGAATAAATTGAGTATGGTTTCTATTTTTTTAATTTGTTAAGGTGTGTTTTATGTCCAGGAATGTGATCTGTTTTGCTGAATGTCCCATATAAACTTGAGAAAAATGTGTATTCAGTTGAATAAAGTGATCCATACACATCCACTATATCCATCAATTTTCAGTGTTGTTGAGTTCAACTATGTCCTTATTGATTTTCTGCCTACTGGATCAATTACTGATAAGGGGGTGTTGGAATTTCCAGATACAATAGTGGCTACTGAACTTTCCTATTGCATCAGTTTTTGCCTCTTGTATTTTGATACCTTTTGCTATTCCCTCCATTTTTGGCCTTAAAACGGTCTCTGGTCTATGGTCACATGTATGTTAAGGATAATTTTTTCTTCCCCGAGAATTGCCTCTTTTATCATTATGCCCCTCTTTATTCCTGAATATTTTCTTTGTTCTAAAACCTATATCATCTAAAATTAATAGACATATTTCGCTTTCATTCAGCTGTTGTCAGTGACTTTCTCCATCCCTTTATGTTGAATCTGCAGATGTCTTTATATTTAAAATGGGGTTTTTTTTGTAGACCACACAGAAGTATAAGCAGGTCTTATTTTTCTATCATCTTTGACAGTCTGTCTTTTAATTGGTATATTTAGACCATTCATGTTTAAAGGGATTATTAGTCACACACTATGTTACAAGGTTTCAGTCCATGATGAACCATATATGTGGTGGTGATCCCATAAGGTTATAATGGAGCTGCCCTATACCTTTTTTTTATGT